AGGGTGGGAAGGGAGCTCCCAAGGTTGGATTATAGCGGGTAAGCAGGGCTGGGATTATGGCCTCTGGGAGCTGAGGGTGTGGGCCAATAGTCTCTGTGGTGACCCTGAAGGGATGGGGGAGAAGGGGACACACAAGGGAGGGGATGAAACAGGCTGAAATTTATGGACATGCACACCTCATTCAGTACATGTGTAATATCAGGAAAGTTACTTGATCTCACTGCCTCATCTGCAAAATGCAGATAGTAAAGCCCCTCCTTCAAAGGCTTGTGGATTGGATCAAATGAGTTGGTGTATGTAAAGCACTAAGAATAGGGCCTGCCTACATCAAGTGCCACACAAGCGTCTGCCATGGCTGTTATAATTTAGAGCCAATGTGGGGATTACAAGACCAGACAGGTAAAAAGAATAAGCCTAAAAACACTTAATTAAAAGAAAGGGGCCGGGCTTCCCTGGAGGCGCAGTGATTGAGAGTCCGCCTGCCGATGCAGGGGACACGTGTTCGTGCCCCGGTCTGGGAAGATCCCACATTCCGCGGAGCGGCTGGGCCCGTGAGCCATGGCCGCTGAGCCTGCGCGTCCGGAGCCTGTGCTCCGCAACGGGAGGCGCCACAACAGTGAGAGGCCCCCGCACCAAAAAAAAAAAAAAAAAAAAAAAAAAAAGAAAGGGGCTAACCTGAGGGTTTGACCCCTTTCTGCCCATAGACATGCCCCTGGGTGATGGGTTACAAGGGAAAAGCCCAGCTGCTCTGTGTAGGAGACTGGTGTCCTACTGCACCAAAGTAGCAGTTAGGAGACTGGGGATGGGGGTTGGTGCAGGCAGAGGAGGAGGAGGCCGTCTGGTGACCCACATACGGCAAGCCATCTCTGAGATGGCCCAGGGAGGTGGAGGGGGATGGAAGATAAGGCTTACCCTACTTTGGTCTCCTTAATTCTAGGGCAACCATAGCCACTCGAGCTCAGCCCACCTGGACTCTCAGTAAAGCAGATCCCCTCTTCCTCTTAGTTTCCTCCTCTACAATTTGAGAAATGGCTAAACATTCTTATCAGACATTCAAAAAATCCATTGCCTGGGGCTGGCAGAATCCATCTAATTGCCCTCCCCTTATCCAGAAGTAGGTGGTGACCCAGCTGGTCTGGCCTGAGGTCTCGGGGGTCTGTAAAGATCATCAATAAGCGTTTCCAGCTGTCAAAAACCAGTGGGGGGGGGGAACTTCCCTGGTGGCACAGTGGTTAAGAATTCACCTGCCAAAGCAGGGTACACGGGTTCGAGCCCTAGCCCAGGAAGATCCCACATGCCGTGGAGCAACTAAGCCCGTGCGCCACAACTACTGAGCCCATGTGCCACAATTACTGAAGCCTGTGCACTGCAACAAGAGAAGCCACCGCAATGAGAAGCCTGCACGCTGCAACAAAGAGTAGCCCCCACTCACCGCAACTAGAAAAAGCCTGCACGCAGCAATGAAGACCCAACGCAGCCAAATAAATAAATTACAAAAACAAAACAAAACAAAACAAAAAACAATGGGGGAACTTCCCTGGTGGTGCAGTGGTTAAGAACCTGCCTGCCAAGGCAGGGGACATGGTTCGATCCCTGGTCTGGGAAGATCCCACATGCAGAGGAGCAACTAAGCCCATGCGCCGCAGCTACTGAGCCTGCACTCTAGAGGCTGCGAGCCACAACTACTGAAGCCCGCGGGTCTAGAGCCCATGCTCCGCAACAAAAGAAGCCACTGCAATGAGAAGTCCCAGGTTGCCACAACTAGAGAAAGCCCGCATGCAGCAACAAAGACCCAATGCAGCTAAAAAAAGAAAAAAAACAATGGGGCTATCTTGGGGGAGTGAGCTCCCCATCCCTGGAGGTGTGTTAAGCAGGACCTGAGGGTTGGTCCTGTTGTCTGGGAGAAGCAGCAGAGCTTCCCAAGCCAGGCTGCCCATCAGTGATTCAGGACCCTGCATGGCTTGGGTGAGTGGGAAATGGAAACTGCGGTCCAAATTGAGTCAGTATCAGACACCACATGCATCCTGATGGTGGGCATCAACAGGGATCGGAAGGGGCAAACACCAGGCTGCCTGCCACTGTGGGGCAGGCCTCACCCTGAAATGAGTAAAGAGCAATGGAGGGTGGGAGTGTGAGGAAGGGGTCAATGTGAGGGGCTTCAGGCAACCCCCCCAACTCAGAGGGCCACTGAGAAGAGCAGAGCTGGGCAGTGGAGTGATGGGCACCTTTGCCCACAGCCAGAGGAGGGGGAGGGGAAATGACTTGAAGGTGTGGCCCCTCATCTCAGCTAGGCAGGTGGGCCAGGCCTCAAATCCAGCCAGCCTCTTATTTATTTATTTATTTTGAAGTACAGTTGATTGTGTTAGTGTTGTTGTGTTAGTTTTTGGTGTACAGCAAAGTGATTCAGTCATATATAATATACATATTCTTTTTCATATTCTTTTCCAGTATGGTTTATTACAGGATACTGAATTGCAGTGCTTTATTTTTCTTCTTCTCTCCTGTCTCTATCACTCACACACACACACACACACACTCTAGCCACAAACCCACATCTTCATGCACTGTGTGCCTGGCCCCGCCACAATTTCTAGGGTAACTGCTATAAAAGGCTGGCAAACATGAACATGCACATACCAGGAAGCAGAAGTTCAGCCTGTCCATCGCCCTGCCTCTGAGCTGCTGCCATACCAGAAGGCCCCACCTGCTTTCCAGGACTGACCAAGGCCTCTCTGACACCTTCTCCTATCCTGCCTCTGCATTGATGCTTGTCAACATTTACTGATTTATTGAGTACCGACTACATGTCAGGCTCCACTCTGCCCACTTCACACGCTGCCTCACTTAACTCATTTGAGTTAGGCTGCACGTAACAGAAACCCCACACAGCGGTTTAACAAAATAAATACATTGCAATATGTGCTTCTCATTCAGCAAGAAGGCTCTGCAGCGTCTCGGGGGACCCAGGCTCCTTCCTGCCTCACTGTCCCCAGCAAATTACTTTGACCTTGGGGGCACAAGTTGGCTGAGGGCTGCCAAAAGTTGGGGGCAGCATCTGAGTCTGCCTCACTTATCTGGACACCACCTCCATCTCGGTCCCCCACTGACCTCCAGAAGCTCAGGCCAGCTTCTCACTGCTGTCTTCTCTGTGTATGTCACACTAGGCTGGCCTCCCCAGCAGCCTGGGACCTGGAGTAGACTCACTGCCTGAGGAGTGGACAGAGGCCAGAATACTGTGTTCCGGATGCCATTTGGCCCCCAGCAACCAGTGCCCTCTGCCAGCTCTTTGCTGCAATCAGGTGGCAGACATGAGTCCTGGCTGAGAGTGATAAAGACCAGGAACTGAGCCAACATCATCCCAGCCTTGTGGCTGAGGCCCAACTGTCTCTGGGCCTGCCCCTCCACTACAAATACATATATGTGTTGCACCTGTGGTCAGAATGCCCACACGCTCTGGCCAGCCCCAAGGCCACCTCCTCTAGCCTCCCTTCACTGCCCCCCTGCCCACGTCCTATGGCCAGAGAGGCCCAGACTGCACTCCAAGGTCCCTGCCTGAGCTGCCCTGCCCTTCTTTCTTCAGTCACCAAGAAGTGTGTTTGGGTTGGCTCCAGGCCTGCCTTGTGCGTGGACGTGGGGAATGAAACTAGGCACCACAGCCAGGGTGTACCCCATAGGAGAAATCAGCACCATAGGCAGACCCTCACAACGGATATAAAGGGGACAGCTGAATGCTAATGGGCAGTCTAGCAGGAAGACTTCCCCTAGGTTTTGGTCTGAGCACCTTTTGAAGGGCTAATAAAGCGGAGGAAAGGTCAGGCCAGGCCGAGGAAACACCCAGTGTGGGGTTTTGAGGCACAGAACACATCTGGGGAGGTTGCAGCAGTTCACATGCCAAGAAGTAAAAGGATTATGTGGGGAGGTGGGGGGCCGGGGTGCCCAGGGCAGGCAATGAGGCCCACACAAGCCTTGCAGGGCCCCAAACACCTCTGGGCCAAGACTCTAACAGGGAAGCACCTGGCAATGGCCCTTTCAGGCTTAAGGTACAAGTCCTTTCCCTACACTTTTGATGCCCTCCCTCAAAGAGGGGACAAGGAAAGAGCTTGTTAGAGGTGGGAGTGTGAAAGGAAAAACTAATATGGGGCTTCACTGGAGCCCAGTAAAGTGACTGACCTGCCAGGATGCATAGCTGGTGACCAGAGTTTTAATCTTTCCATTCCAAACCGAGCCCTAGTCTTAACCCACCGCAAGAACCCACAACCCAGAAGCCCTCCCCGCCAACTACGTAAATATGCACGTTTCCCCACAAGCCTTCTTTCCCGGAGCTAAAGCCCAACAACCTGAATTTTAACAGGCGCCCCCGTGATTCCCACGCATATCGGCCGGTTGGAGACCTCGGCCCTGCACCTTCAGACCCCGCCTCTTCCGGAAAGGCCACGCACCGGGTCGGGCGCCCCCTCGTGGCTTCCAGGGGAAGTGGCCTGGGGCTCGACTGGTCTAGGGCTTCGAGTGGAAACCCCGCGTACCCAGTCAGTGAGTGACCAGCGTGGGCCGCGCCGTGAACCCGGAGCAAGGGGCTTTTGGTCCGACGGTGAAAGTCGCCTGAGCCCGAGGTCCAGGTGTCGGAAGGCCACCCACGCCTCGAATCCAGAGCACAGCTCGGGATGTGAGGCCCCGCCCCCCCTGAGAGCGTCACTCTCGCGCGCGCACCCGCTACTGGCTTGCGCAACCGCCATATCTCCCCTTTAGCCGAGTGAAGTGGCTTGTTAGTAGAAGTCCGTGTGCACGGAAGAAAAGGTGAGTGTCTCGCCTCGAGGACAGCGGCCCGGGGTTGCAGGGCACACTCAGTCCAGGGTGCCCCCTCCTTAGGCTTGGCTAGCTGGGGCAAGCAACTACAGTCCCCCAGAGGCACAGCGCCACAGGGTTGCGCGAAGTAGTGACGTAAAATGTCTTGGCCGCTACCATTTCTCTGTGGGGGGCGGGGGGGGGGACGCGGTGGCGAAGGCTGATGACGGCTCTGATTGCGGGTAGAGGGCCGCGGGAGATCAGTCGAGGTCTCCGAGCTACGGGTTTCAAAGCGCTGTCGCGAACCTTCCTGTTTAACCAGTTTAAACTCACGATCTATTTACCCTTAGCTACAGATATCTGCTTACCGTCTACCCGCTGCCTTTCACCCCCGGGGTGGTCACTGAGCCAAACACCATTATTATTACTATTTCTTGGTCTTTATTTTGGCGTGATCTCAAGCTTACGGAAAATTTCAAGACTGTTCTTATAAAGAACTCCTGTATACTTAATTTTCCAATTAAGTTAGTTGCAGATATGATGCCCCTTTACCTCTATATTTATAGGTACTTCAGTGTGTATTTTCTAAAAACAAGGACATTCTCCTACATTCAAAATCAGGTAACATCGATCAAGGCTGTTATCTAACCTGTAATCTGTACTTAAATGCTTCCAGTTGTCCTAGTAATGCCCTATGTTGAAACTATCTTTTTCTCTGCCAGGGCTCCTATCTAGTATCGCAGGATGCATTCGACTGTCTTTTCTCTTTGGCCTCCTTCAGTCTGGAGCAGCTCCCCAGTGTTCCTTGACTCTGATGACTGACATTTTTCAAGATTCCTGGCTGGTTGTTTGTAGATTTGGCTTTGGGGTTGTCTAAGATATCTTAGCTGCTAGACTCTTATGGACAGAGTTGGTGCTGACCACATTCAGAGGCTGGGCGTGTGTCTTGGGTGACTGAGGAGGAACAGCGACCAGCCACACCAGCCTTCAGACACACTCCCAGGCCTAGCTAGGCCAGATCCTTTCTGTGGTTGCCTCCCCTCTGGGGTTTTGCACTCATCTCACTGAGGTCTCTGGCTTTCCTGTAGCATCCATCCCAGAGCCATGGTCCATGCCTTCCTCATCCACACCTTGCGGGCCACGAAGGCTGAGGAGGGCCTTTGCCGAGTGCTCTACTCCTGCTTCTTTGGTACCGAGAATTCACCCAATGACGCACAGCCACATGGTGCTGAGAGGGACAGGCTTCTCCGAAAGGAGCAGATTTTGGCCGTGGCCAGGTAACACAGTCCAGCCCATTGAATACACACTGATTATGATAGGTTTTCTGGGGGGCACAGAGAAACAGGAGGACTAAGAAGCAGAGAGAAAGTTTTAGAGTAGTGCTTTCAAAGAGTCTTCCACAGTTGTCACAAGTATTATATGAAAAAGGGTTAAAGACATAATAATGCTATTATCATCATCATTTATTATAGTTAGCATTTATGGTAATTTTTTTTGTAGTTAGCATTTATTGACCTGTATGTACTAAGCATTTTATGTTCTGAGCATTTCGTGTATATGAACTCATTTTATCTTTGGAACAGTCTTTTGAGGTAGGTACATTATCCCCACCTTACAGATGAGTAAACTGAGCTACAGAGAGTTAAAGACATTTAACCTGTCTAAGGTTATGCATCTAGAAAGTGAAAGAGTTGGGATTTGAGTGTAAGCAGTACAAATTAAATATGCTGTGCAGTGCAGGACTTTTCAGGGCCCTTAGTGTTCCTTTAAGCTTTATGAATCTCTAAGGAGGAGAGAGAATGTGGTTTATGGGAATCTGCGCCAAGAGCCTCCCAAAAGCCCGGGATCCACAGGGTACAGTTGGGAAACACTGTTCTAGATGGGATGGCTGACCTTGGACCTTCTCCTCCCAGACCCAGTCTGAACCAGCAGGTACGAGAATCTCCTGGCCCCTCTGTGTTTTGGGTGGGGGGATTAACACTCTGGGGCAACCCTGGGCCAGCCTCTTGTTTATCTCTTTGTTCTGCTGGGCTTCCTCCCCCTTATGTGGCACAGAAAACCAAACGTGTCTTTAAGAGCAGCCTGTACATGGCCCAGATTGGAAGGTGATTCATGAGAGATAAGAGAGTAATTTCAAAAGCTGGATGTCCAAGTGCAAGGTTTTTCTTTTTTATTTGGAGAGGGCTGCAGGATGGGGTGAGGGTGGAGAGGTTGGACAGCCTGGGTTGGACATAGCTTTTACTCCACTTCTCATCTCTTGTTGAGATGTTGAGGAGGCCTCTGTGAAGCAGGTAGGGGCAGGATCTTCATCCCCTGGTACCTTTTCCCAGCCCAAGGAGCTGTGTTCAGAACCTGCCTTCTCTTGGCCACATGGAGTGAAATGGTTCAGGGCCTGGAGGCTGGAGCCTGGATTCCCATCTGGGCTTATGCTCCCTGCTCTGTGGCCCTGGGCAGGTCACTTCACTTAGTCTTTCTGGGGCTCAGTTTCTGCATCTAGTTATGGGGATAATGGCAGCTCCCAGCTCCAGGGGTGGTCCTGAGGGTGACAGGTCAGTGACCCACCTATTCTCTACAGGCAGGTGGAGTCCATGTGCCAGCTGCAGCTGCAGGCATGCGGCCGGCCTGCTGTGGACCTGCAGCCCCAGTCCTCAGATGACCCAGTGCACCTGCGTGAGTCCCCATGTGGGGCCTTCCGCCTGACGGCAGGGGACCCTTTCCAGGAGCCTCGGACAGTGGTGTGGCTAGGCGTGCTCTCATTAGGCTTCGCCCTGGTGCTGAATGCCCACGAGAACCTGCTGCTGGCAGAGGGCACGCTTCGACTGCTGGCCCGCCTTCTCCTTGAGCACCTCCGGCTGCTGGTCCCCACTGCCAGCCTCCTGCTGCGGGCTGACTACATCGAGGGCATTCTCACCCGCTTCCTGCCCCATGGTCAGCTGCTCTTCCTCAATGACCAGTTTGTCCAGGGTCTGGAGAAAGAATTCAGTGCTGCCTGGCCCCGCTGACCCCTCAATGGGATGGGACTCCCTAAGAGGGCAAGGAGGGAGGATGGGGATGGACGGATATACAGCCAGGTAAAATTTGGCATCTGCCTCCTTCCCAGCCTCCTCCCAGCTCTGGTGTGCTGCCACACCCAGGACAAATGGATGGAACAAGCTGGCAGAAAAGGGGGCCGGGGAGAGGGTAGAGAGGAGGAATCACAGAGCTTCCTATGCCTGGAGTGACCTCGTGACTTATTCAGACTGCTGCAGCAGGCCAGCCCCGCTTGTCCTTGACCCCACTTTCTCCCATCCCTGCCAGCCAGCCGCAAACAGTCCACCAGCCACTAGTGCTGGGGCAGTAAGGAACGGCCGCTTGGAACTCAGCCCACTTTCTTCCAAACCCATAGTCATCGCAGTGCAAAAGCAGTCTCTGAGATTTCGAGGGTCAGGGAACTGGCTTCTGCCTTTGCACCTACTTAGGCGCCATCATCAAGGATTTTGTTGGCGAGGGCCTGCTCAGTGTCCAGCCCCACCACAGTTCACAAAGGTGTGAGTTGTTCAGCAGAGAGGCTCCATAGCTCATTTTGGCCCCAGCCCATGCCCACCGGCAGCCATGAGATAATCATGGGCTTACTTTGTCTGCAGGGAGAGAGGGTGGTGGTGGGTGAGAGAGGTCTGATGTTGTCCTTCTCAGTTTGAATTAAAAGCACTGAGTGTGTGATTTCATCCTCTGTTTCTGTGAGTTTGATTAATTCACGTCTTTTCCTGTGCCACTCTGAGCTGGGTGTCTGAGCCTTCGTGGTCAAGTATGTCCCCAAGAGACTTCTTGGGAGGCTCTCCACCTCTTGTCCCCCTCATCACTTCTGTCTCCTTAAATGCCTCCTTCGGATGGTAGCACTTGCTTCCTCTACCAAAATGTGGTGGGTTGGTGTGGATCCCTGAGAAGCAGAGCCTGAGACAAGGATTAGGTACAAGCAGTTTATGTTGGAGGTGATCCCAGAAAGCACTGGAAGGGGTGGCAGACCATACAGGTGTGTTATCAAGGGTAGGTAGGGAGCTAAGTGCACTAAGTGCCCCTGGGGGCCAGTACACAGCAGTCACCTCTGAATGACCTCACCTGAGGGGTGAAGGACTGTGGGTGTTTGTCTGGAACCCCCTTCCGTCTGACTGTGAGTTGGTCCCAAGGCAAATTCCCTGGCTCTTTCTGCCCCCACAAAAAGCCCTTGGGCCTGCCTGCACCATGGTCAGGCCCAAAAGGTTATGGATGGGGCACCCAACTGCTGTTCGGGAGTCTTTACTCAGTAGCTCCTAGTGATGGTTTAAAATGATTCAGTTGGGTAAAACCTCAGTTATATCTATTTTCACGATCTACTTGTGACCTGTGAGGTATGGCTTTCTTGCATGGGCAGAACAGGCCTCCTCCTAGGTGGTCAGTGTGCAGGTGTGGGCCTGGTCTCATGTTTGCCAAGTATTAGTTGCCCTTCGGCACCCAGGAAGAACCCACCCACACTCACTTTGGAGGCAGCACCTGTGATTGGAGTTTTGCCCTTCCAATTCTGCAGTGAAGGCCATCAGCCATGCCATGCCTTCCGTCACCACCATCACTACTAGGACAAGGCCACCTTCTCCATCCTAGGGTGCCACAAATCACCCTCTGACCTTGAAGCACTAAAGGGACCTCAGTCTGTATTTGTGGCAAGCTGTGCCACTGGAAATGTCCCAGAGGCCCCAGTGGGACACCCCTGCCCTATAAAGCCTGCTTTCTTGGCCTGCTACTCCCCTCACTCCAGGCTGGTGGTCCTTGCCGAGTGGCTGTATTCTCACAAGAACAGGCCCCTCTGACTTTGGTTGAAGGGCTCAAGCTTGGGTGGTCTGAAACCTTTCTGCCTATTTTTCAAACTGAACTTGAGGAAGAGGGTGAGACCCTATTCCCCTAGAAGCTGTGGGAAATTGGGGTTAGGTGAGGCTTGTGGTGAGGCTTGAGGTGAGGCTACTTCCTCCCATCAAGTAGAGGAAACTGATACACAGAATGGCAGAGAGTGAGATCCTTCCCCGAGGCCACTGAGCCCCTGGTTTCCGTGGTTCCAGATGCCCAGTTAGTTTCTTTAATCATTCGAGTTTGCCCAGTGCCCTTTCTTTATATTCCCACTTTTGCCCCAGTACCTCTGAGCCGGGTTTCCACCACAACTTCTTACGCTTGCTTCACTTTCATCGAGCCTGCCTTGGCCCTGACACTCTACTAGGTGCTATGCATGGTATAAGATGACTTGCTAGGATTTTGATTGGGAATGCATTGAATAGATGAAGATGAAGTTGGGAAGAACTGACATCTTGACAATATTGAGTCTTCTATCCATGAACAGGGAATATCTCACCACTTATTTAGTTCTTTGATTCTTTCATCATAGTTCTGTAGTTTTCCTTAAGGAGATCTTGTACACATTTTGTTAGATTTATATCTAAGTATTTCATTTTTGGGGGTGTTAATAGTAATGTTTTTTTTTTTTTTGCGGTACGCGGGCCTCTCACCGTTGTGGCCTCTCCCGTTGCAGAGCACAGGCTCTGGATGCGCAGGCTCAGTGGCCATGGCTCACAGGCCCAGCCGCTCCGCAGCATGTGGGATCTTCCCGGACCGGGGCACAAACCCATGTCCCCTGCATCGGCAGGCAGACTCTCAACCACTGCGCCACCAGGGAAGCCCAGTAATGTATTTTTTTTTTAATTTTAAAAAATTTTTATTTATTTTTGGCTGTGTTGGGTCTTCGTTGCTTCATGCGGGCTTTCTCTAGTTGCACCGAGTGGGGCTACTCTTCGTTGAGGTGCACAGGCTTCTCATTGTGGTGGCTTCTCTTGTTGCGGAGCACGGGCTCTAGGCGCGCGGGCTTCAGTAGTTGTGGCTCGCGGGCTCTAGAGCACAGGCTCAGTAGTTGTGGCGCACGGGCATAGTTGCTCCGCGGCATGTGGGATCTTCCCGGACCAGGGCTTGAACCTATGTCCCCTGCATTGGCAGGCGGATTCTTATCCACTGCGCCACCAGGGAAGCCCAGTAATGTATTTTTTATTAGTATTGAAGTATAGTTGATTTACAATGTTGCATTAGTTTCTGGTGTATAGCAAAGTGGTTCGTTTATACATATATATACATATTCGTTTCCATTATGGCTTATTACAGGATATTGAGTATAGTTCCCTGTGCTATACAGTAGGACCTTGCTGTTTATCTATTTTATTTATAGTTGTTTGTACCTACTAATCTCAGAGTCCTAATTTATCCCTTCCCCACCCCCTCTTCTCCTTGGCAACCACAAGTCTGTTCTCTATGTCTATGAGTATTTCTGTTTTGTAAATAAGTTCATTTGTGTCATATTTTAGATGCCACATATAAGTGATATCATATGGTACTTGTCTTTCTCTTTGTGACTTACTTCACCTAGTATGATAATCTCTAGGTCCGTCCATGTTGCTGCAAATGGCATTATTTCCTTCTTTTTTATGGCTGAGTAGTGTCCCATTGTATGTATATATACCACATCTTCTTTATCCATTCATCTGTTGATAGACATTTAGGTTGCGTCCGTGTCTTGGCTATTATAAATAGTGCTGCTGGGGACTTCCCTGGTGGTGCAGTGGTTAAGAATCTGCCTGCCCATGCAGGGGACATGGGTTCGAGCCCTGGTCCAGGAAGATCCCACATGACGCGGAGCAAGTAAGCCTGTGTGCCACAACTACTGAGCCTGCGCTCTAGAGCCTGTGAGCCACAACTACTGAAGCCTGCGTGCCTAGAGCCTGTGCTCTGCAACAAGAGAAGTCACCGCAGTGAGAAGCACGTGTACTTCAAGGAAGAGTAGCCCCTGCTCACTGCAACTAGAGAAAGCCCGCACGCAGCAACGAAGACCCAGTGCAGCCAAAAATAAATAAAATTTTAAAATAAATAAATAAATAAATCAGTAGTGCTGCTATGAACGTTGGGGTGCATGTATCTTTTCAGATTACAGTTTTCTCTTTTCCCGATATATGCCCAGGAGTGGGATTGCTGTATCATATGGCAACTCTGTTTTTAGTATTTGTTTTCCATATTGTTTTCCATAGTGGCTGCAATGGTAATGTATTTTTAATTTCAAATTCCATGTCTTCATTGTTGATATAGAGGAAAGGGAATGATTTTTGCATATTAACCTTATATCCTACAACTTTGCTATGATTGTTTATTAGTTCCAAGAGTTTTTTTGTTGATTCTTTCAGATTTTCTGCATAGACAGTCATGTCATCTGCTAACAGATATGGTTTTATTTCTTCCTTCCCAATTTACTTACCTTTTCTTTCTTTTTTTTTTTTTTGATCTTATTGCATTAATTAGGACTTCCAGTACAATTTGAAAAGGAGTGGTGAGATGAGACATCCTTGCTTTTTTGCTGATCTTAGTGGGAAAGCTTCTAGTTTCTCACCATTGAAGTATGATGTTTCCTGTAGGTTTTTGTAGATGTTCTTTATCAGGTTGAGGAAGTTCCCCTCTATTTCTAGTTTGCTGAGCGTTTTTATCATGAATGGATGTTGGATTTTGTAAAATACTTTTCCTGTATCTATTGGTATGATCACGTGATTTTTCTTCCTCAGTCTGTTGATGTGATGCCATTAATTAATTTTCAGATGTTGAGCCAGCCTTGCATACCTGGGATAAATCCCACTTGGTCATGGTGTATAATTCTTTACATATTGTTGGATTCTATTTGCTAATATTTTGTTGAGGACTTTTGCATCTGTGTTCATGAGTGATATTGGTCTGCAGTTTCCCTGTATGCCTTTGTCTGGTTTTGGTATTATGGTAATGCTGGCCTCATGAAATGAGGAAGTATTTCCTCTGCTTCTATATCTTCAGGAAAAGATTTTAGCAAATTGGTATATTTTCTTCCCTAAATGTTTGGCAGACTACCAGTGAATCCATTTGGGCCAGCCTTGAATTTTTATTTATTTATTTTAAAATTTATTTATTTATTTATTTAAATCAATTTTTATTGGTGTATAGTTGCTTTACAATGTTGTGTTAATTTCTACTTGAATTTTTTAAATGTTTATTGTTTTAATTAAATTTCGTTTTCTAAACAGGTAACATGGTTTAGAAATCAAAATGATAAAAATGTTTTTACTGAAAAACTTGGTCCTGCCTCTGTCCTCATCTACCTGTTTCCCCCTCTGCCCTAATGTATAATAGCCTTCTAGGTTTCCTACATATCTTTCTATCTCTCTTTATACAAATATAAGCAAATACGTACTTTTTTTGGCTGCGTTGGGTCTTTGTTGCTGCGCATGGGCTTTCTCTAGTTGCGGCAAGCAGGGGCTACTCTTCTCTGCAGTGCGCGGGCTTCTCATTGCGGTGGCTTTTCTTGTTGCGGAGCATGGGCTCTAGGTGCGTGGGGTTCAGTAGTTGTGGCACATGGCTCTCAGTAGTTACAGCGCACGGGCTTAGTTGCTCCATGGCATGTGTGATCTTCCCAGATCAGGGCGCAAACGCGTGTCCCCTGCATTGGCAGGCGGATTCTTAACCACTGTGCCACCAGGGAAGTCCCTTACGTGTATTTTGATTCTACTTCCTGCTTGCACGGTTTTCTTACACAATAGATTGCCTACTATATATAGGATTCTGCACTTGTTTGTTTCATTTAACAATGTACCTTGGAGATCTTTTTATAGCAGTACATAGTATTATTATTCTTTTTTTATTCTTATCC